CTCTCTCTCTCTCTCTCTCTCTCTCTCTCTCTCTCTCTCTCTCTTCTTCTTCTCCCCAAACATACCATACAGTCAACACAGAGTAGAAGACAAACACACACGCTGTACACGCGTCAAGCCAAAGCCAAAGCAAGGCAAGCAAAGAAGGAAGGAAGAAAGGTATCCAACAAATACGAAAAAAACACAGTCAGACAGACAGAGGCCGAAAATCCAACCGTCAAATCTGTTCTCTCCTTCTCTTCAAATTGTACGGCCGCCGCGGGTAGCCAATCTGAGCGCCTAGTTCGCTCGTTTGAACTACCTCAGTGCGTTCATTGGCGCGCCGCCGGCAGCCAATCAGCGGCGAAGGAAGGGATTTGAAATGGTGAGAGCAGCGTTGAAGAGTAGAACGCCAGCTAGCGCAACCAGTGCCCAGTGCTGCTGTCTTGTACGACAGCAGCAGCAGCAGCCACAGCCAAAGCAGCAACAGCTGAAGCAAAGGGAAAGGATAGCTTCACTGCGAGCAGCACTGGGGAAAGGTACAGTACTGGCAGCAGTACTGGCTGCAGTAGTATCCAGGCGCCAACTGGTAGCACTCACCAAAGGTAGGAAACCGACTCCACCGTACTACTGCTCTACTCTCCGACCACAGCGACGGTTGTGTTTGCGGCGCCAGGCAATGCTGATGATGGTGATGGTGCCGGCACCGGTGTGTTGCTGCTGCTGCTGCCACTGCTTCAGCACACACAGAAAGCCTGCTTCAAGAGTCGTGGCGCGTAGTCTTCTTCTTTAGTGTACCAAAAAAGTAGAAGAAGTGCCAAAGAAGTGAATACTGTCATTGAGGTCCACCGCCACACTACTCCACCACTGCACCTTATCCCCTCCGCCATTGAGGTGCTTTATCCTTTGCCTTTGCTTCTGTCTCTGCCGCCTCCTTCGTCTTCTTTGTCATCCATTTTTATTACTTCCTCACTTTTGAATATTTCCATTTTTATTTGAAAGTACCTCTGAATCAGATCTGCTCGATTCTGTCTTCGTTGATTTCATCATCACTGTCAGTGCACTAAATAACTGTAGCAGCAGCCAAAATGGCGCCAATTTAGTGTGCCCGTGTTTGCAGTGCGTACCTGTGGTGCTCTTTCATTATTTGCCCATCACCACCTCTGCTCTGATCGCCACTGTCTGATCGCTGATATTTATTTACCCAGTCACTGTCTCTGTTTATTTATTCTACACTACTCTTTTGACACTAGTAGTGCTATTGTCAGCTGCTATTTACCATCGTCCATTATCTGCCTCTTCTACAATCCCCTCATTTCAAGTGGCAGTTTTGTCTGTTAAATGATACAAAGCACAGCAGAAACTGGTCAAGAGTGAAGTGAGCAGGGCGACTGGAGCATTTTCTGCCTTCATTTAATTTTTTTGGGTGCTTCTTGTTATTTGTCGCACCAGCACTTTCAGGCATTCAATTGTGTGTCCACTGCAGCGTGCACTGCTGCACTGATCACCATCAGCACTCAACTGCACAGAAACTGAAAATTGAATTTACATTGAGGAATTGTGTCACTGTCTTCTTTGCGCGCGCCAGTTGAAGGAGTACGCTCTACTAGCCTCGACCTTTCAACAGCAGCAGCAGCAGCAGCAACAGCAGCCTTTTCATCCACCTCGAAAGGGAAAAACGATCAGTGGCGTGTCTGTGCTCCCGTGCACTTGTAGCGCTCTTTGTGCTGCATCTTTCTGCGTTACATCGACTCATTCACTCAACTACTGACTGAGCTTGGTCGCGCCCAGCATCGTCGTCGGCATCATCATCATCAGCAGCAGCAGAAACAGAAGCAGAAGTTACAGCAGACACCGCTCTGTCCTCTCACCAGCACACCACTGCACCAGTCGCCCTCAGCTCTCTCTCTCTCCCATCGTCAGTTCGTCGGTGAAACTCAGCAGTGAGAGAGTGTGCTAGTCCGTCGGTGTCTGCATTTCTGCACCTCCTCAGTTCACCTCAGCAACTCATCGAGCACCACTGGCAATCTCTGAACTGAAAAAACTTACTTTTTTAGCGCCAGATCCGTTTTGCCCAGTGCGAATCTACCGTCTGCAAATTTACACTCCACAGTTCTCTTGCCAATTGCATCAGCCGAGGTCAATCGAGCAATTATCATATGCAACTGCTGCTGATGCTTCATCTGCTTCACCGACTACTGCACAATCTGCTTCTGCTTCAGTGGCACTGCTACTGCTGAACTAGACATTGTACATTACAGTGTCTGTTTGTCTGCTTTTTACTCGTGCACAACATTCCTCTCTCCAGTGCTCTCCTAGAAACACACACACACTCTCCGACACAACTTCACAAATTAGTCGCATCCGGTGCCATCTTTTCCTCTTCACTTCATCACCATCAATTGATCGTTTGTTCGTGTGGCAGACTCGCGTCAGGAGCCAGTTAGAAAGCCAGCAAACCAGACAGTCAGTCCCAAGAGTGGTAGTCAGATTGTTGACTGTTGTCCAATTAGTTGGAGAGAGCTGATTTTCTCTGTCATCAAACAGCAA